TCTGGAACTGTATATGACTGGAACTGTAATATGGCTACACGAAAAAGGGTGTTCTGTAGTACACATTTTTTTGGGACACTTGAGATGTATCAACATGTTCAATAAAGAACATAAAATATTATTCTGACTATTATTGGTCTTATGAAGTATTCTAATTTGTTGAGATAGTGAATTGGTGGGTTTTTGTTAAATATGAGCCAAAATCATCACAATTAAAAGAACCAAAGACTTGTCTGTGTGCACTGAATTTATTTAATACACGAGTTTCACAATTTGAGTTGAATTACTAAAATAAATGAACTTTTCCACAACATTCTAATTTATTGAGATGCACCTGTATATATAGTCTGTTTGCATTAACATTGGTATATGTAGCTATAGTTAATCATGTTTGGGGGGAAAATTTGTACATATTAGTGAGCTATATCTGATTAAACTTCCTTTTGGTGGCACCCAGCAGTACCCTAATTTGTAAAAACAATATATAAAAATACAGCAAGTTTTCGGTTTGGATTAGGTTATAGTATTTATAACTAGCTGTGTATAAAAATATCAGAAGTCTATGGAACGTCCCTATTTAGATAGCTATGTAAATGTGTTTGTGGGTTTCTTATGAACGTGAGAGCAGGGCCTCATAATGATTTTAGAACTTTCACATCTAATTTATTTAACATCATTAGCTCAGCAGAATGTGTATAAAGCAGTGGAGGAACATCTACAGATGGAGCTGCAAAGTAATTTAATTCAGCAGAAACTACACCTGTGCTAAGGGATTAAAATGAAACACACTCATCCTCAGTTACCTTCACCTTCATATGGATGCTATTTCCAACCAGATTTATGACATAATCCAGATGCCGTCCATATGACTCATACCCATATGAAGCAGACCAACCACATGACTGATGTGACCTTTGAGGGTAGCCAATATAGCAAAGCTGAGGTGAAAATCCAGTGTGGCAAGTTTGAAACTGCAGCTTCGCCTTTGTACTGAATCAGAGAAAGGCTTCTTGAGTGATTTACTGCCACGGCATGTATTCGCATACAGTACAGTGTCTCACAGGGTTAAAAGTACACTCTAAACTTAGAGTCTCATTGCTGATTTGTTTACACTTTAATTATTTGCAATCAGAAGGAATGCATATTTATAATCTGGCCCATATGAGCAATGAGCTCATGAACAAATTCAGAACAAAAGACAAAAGTACAGTTGTTATCATGTAATCAAAACATGCCTGTAGTTCAACAACCTCAACAAGTACATATACTTGGCAGTAAGAAAAGTTAGAGATGAATGTCAGTGTTATTAAAAATGTCTGTTTTATTCAAATGTTTGATGTGAGCTTTGAAGCATATTCGTTAGAACAAAATCAGGCATACAAACAGTGGCCTCCGGCAAGTGAGATGCGAGTTGTATATTGTGAATGACTTATTAACACACATACATAAACACACTGTGTAAAAGCAGAGGCACAGTCATATTATGAGTGGTTCATATAAAGTAACTCAGTCCACACCATCACTGTCTTAAAAAACGTCTTAATATAAAAGTTTGAGCAAAAAATAGCATTTGATAACATTGAAATATAGAAGAGAATGAGGGACAAATCGAGAATAATAACCTATGCTAATAAAATGCCAGTCTACGTGCAAAACCAGGTCAATGACAATGTTAACACATCCATTTTCAACTCAAGAAGGTGCTGTGATGGTTCATTCTTCGAATGACAGAAAAACGTAAAATGATGAAAAATACAATTCTGTCATCAAATTTGTATGAACACTTTCTTCTGTGGAACACAAAATAAGATATTTTGAGAAATGTCTCAGCGTTTGTTTTGCCCATGTAATGGAAGTCAATGGCAACCAAAACTGTTTGGTTACAAACAATGCTTCAAAAGACCTTTTGTGTGTGTGCGTGTGTATTCCTCAGAAGAAAGTAAGTCTAAATATTTTTTGGGGAAATTATCCCTTTAATTGATATAGATTTCAAGCAGTCATACGTTTCTAAATATAAAGAAAATACAATTGTATTTATTATGCATAGATATGACATGATACTTGAACACTTTTAACTTGTGATAATCCTTTGAATCTAGAACAATTTTGCTTAAAACCAGTTTTTCTGTCCTTAACAAGGGCTTACAGCAACAACATTCTAAATCAAGGTAAAATGGTCATGACCAATCAATTGATTCTTAGCAGTATCTCAACATTGGCAGACAAAACTTTCCAGTTCTCTGAGGGGACATTCTTTAATGACATTCTCGTGAGCTGTTCATGACAGTTTTTATAGCTACACTGCTGTGAGGCATATAATAAGAAACAGGACAGGACACAAGAGATCACACATAATCTCTACTCATCTGAACAGCTCAAATTGAATCCATGTCTAATTACAACTCCCTACAGTCTGCTGTAAAGAGCACCTCTTAAAATATATGACATGCAGGGTACAGGCCAAGCACCTCTTTATTCCCAGAGATCTGGGATTTAAGCATATGGTTTTAGTGATCATATTTCTAATTGTCATCAGGAAAAAGAAAAGAATTGTGCCACAAAGCAAAACAGGTACATGTTCTCTGTTAATTTCTTAAAAGTCATAACAGTATCATTCAGTACCATTAGCTTAACCTTATTCTTATCCATTTTCTTCTATCTCACCAAGACCTTTTATCTAATTATCAGCTTTTCATGTCATAAAAACATGTGCCCATTTGAGTCCATCCATCTCTCTGTGGTTCATTGAAAAAGTATTTGATTGCACCCACTATCCTCCATCCTTTAAATTTTCTAAACTGAAGTCTCAGACTGCAGTCGAAGCACAGACTTGTGTGACTTTGGGTCGATGAATTCTTCAGCAAGCTGAATATAAGGTATAATTATTAGAATTTTGTCAAAATTATGGCTTTTCATTTCATAATTGCTTTTATCTCATAATAATGAACTTTTATCTCATAACTGGAAATCATTTCAGTTTGGACTTAAATCACAATTATGAGATTAAAAATACATACATTCTTTTTTCATAATTTTGAGTTTTTAGAAATGAGGTCCAGTTCTTTGACATTTACTAAACAACATGTGTAATTTTGTAGTGTGCTATAAGGTGTTTGGTTTGATCATTTGCCTTAAAGGGATAGTTCACCCAAAAATTTAAATTTGATGTTTATCTGCTTACCCCCAGGGCATCCAAGATGTAGGTGACATTGTTTCTTCAGTAGAACACAAACAGAGATTTTTAACACAAACTGTTGCAGTCCGTCAGTCGTATAATGTAAGTGGATGGGAATCACAGCTTTGAGAGTCATAAAATATACACAAACAAAACCAAATTAAACCCTGAGGCTTGTGACGATACATTGATGTGTAAAGACACAAAACGATCTGTCTGTGCAAGAAACTGAACAGTATTTATATAGTTTTTTACCTCTGATTTTCACCGCAATGTCCGAACTGTCCTGAGCGCATCCTGAGCGTGTGCGTGTCTTCTTCTTCAGCCGGCGCATGAGGCGTCGTCTTCTTCTTCTTCTTCTTGCTTTATGGCTGATCGCAGACTTATAAGTGCATTACCACCACCTATCTCTCAAATGGACTATTGACACTCCTAATTGAGATTGTAGATAGTGTCAATGGTCCATTTGAGAGATAGGTGGCGGTAATGCACTTATAAGTCTGCGATCCGCCGTAAAGCAAGAAGAAGAGGAAGACATGTCACGCGCCAGCTGAAGTAGAAGACGCGAACGCGCTCAGGACAGCTCAGACATTGCGGTGAAAATCAGAGGTAAAAAATTATATAAATACTGTTCAGTTTCTTGCACAGGCCGATCGTTTTGTGTCTTTACACATCAATGTATCGTCATGAGCCGCAGGGTTTAATTTGGTTTTGTTTGTGTATGTTTTTTTTACTCTCAAAGCCGTGTTTCCCATTCACTTCCATTATATGACTGACAGACTGCAACGGTTTGACTTAAAAATCTCAGTTTGTGTTCTACTGAAGAAACAAAGTCACCTACATCTTGGATGCCCTGGGGGTAAGCAGATAAACATCAAATTTTCATTTTTGGTTGAACTATCATTTAATGCTTGAGAACAGATTGTGTGTGTGTTTTTTGTTGTTGTTGTTAATTTGTTGCCTCTCATGCTTAATGATCCAAAACTATACAATCTTCATAAGTCCAACATGTAATAATGAGAGAAATGATTAAGTAAAAGCATTAGGTCTGCTCAAGAAATTTGAAAAAAAAAAATGTGTACGTGGATCATTGTATTAATTGAGCAATGTCACTCTCTCACACACACACACACACACACACACACGCACACGCACGCACGCATGCACAGACACACACACACTCCAATACCTCCCATGGGTATACAATGTGCATATATATATATATATATATATTTATATATATTATCATCAGAAATTAGAAAACAAAGACATGCCCAGCAGAAACAAGTTTGTTAAAAATGTGCACTGGAAATTTTTGATGTGCATTTACAGTAGTAGAAGGTAATTTGACTGAGATGATGTGCTTGTGAACCTTATGATGTGAAAACCTGTTGCTATAATGATACAGTAATTGGCCAATGTTTCTCAAAGTCTCACCTGTGCAACCTCAACTGCACTATGGTGGATCTTGCAGAAAGACAGATTACATTCCCAGAGTGTTTTTATAAAGAGTAGTGAGGCAGAAAAAATGTGCCTATTTGAGTCCATCCATCTCTCTGTTGTCCATTGAAAAAGTATTTAATTGCACCCACTATCCTCCATCCTTTACTGTTTCTGTATTTTACAAACATTGATAAGTAGTCTTCAATAATTATATTCAACCTCCATAACTGTTTTATCTGATCCGATTTTGCTTGGTTTGACTGCAAACATGTTAATTCTAATGTAAGCACAAACAAAACAAACTAATAAAGAAAACAAATAATATATATATTGCAAAATTTGATATACATATTTGAAAGTAAAAAAAAAAAAACATCCCAGAAGAAAATAAGTTTTTGCTGAAAAAAAATAAATCTCTAAACTGAAGTCTCAGACTGCAGTCGAAGCACAAACTTGTGTGACTTTGGGTCGATGAATTCTTCAGCAAGCTGAATATAAGGTATCTTTTTGGTAGTGACCACTAGGCTAAAGTCAATGCATTTGAGCAGAAAAATGGTCCCATCTTTTAGACCACTGGTAACTGAGGCTTCGCTGATAAGGGTCCACTGCCTAGCAAGCCAGCGGTCCTTTCCATATTGCAGTGTAGGGCCTGTGGTCAGATAACTCTCCAAAAATGCCTGAGAAACAAAAATACACAGCACTTCAGCATTACAGTCATCTAACATTTGACACAAGTTAAAGGAGTCATATGATGCGATTTCAATTTTTCCTTTCTCTTTGGAGTGTTACAAGCTCTTGGTGCATAAAGAAAATCTGTAAAGTTGCAAAGACTAAAGTCTCAAATCCAAAGAGATATTCTTTATAAAATGTAAGAGTCAGCCACACCTACCTAAAACGGCTCGTTCTAACACGCCCCCACATGTCTACGTCACTATGTGGAAATATTAGCATAATGCCTTCCGGACGCTCCTTCGTCGAAATCACCGTCCGCGCCGTTCTCAAGCCCGCCGCCTCAGCTCACTCTAGCCCTCCGGCCATTCCTCACTGTAGGCCACCGTGTGTGACGCTGTGTTTCATTGTGAAAGCGAAACTACTTTGTTTGGCCTTCCAAAAATGGACACGACTAGAAATCAGTGGTTAAGTTGTATTTACAACACTGTTCCAGAACACTTCAACCCAAATATTCAGATGTGTGCAGCACATTTTAAGGAGGACCGTTTCCTGATCCTGGGAGAGTAGACTACAACTGTTCTGACTCAAAGACTGTAAGTAAGTTTTTTTATATTTAAAGAGTTTTTATATTTTATATATTTAAAGCGAGTTTTTTGGGCAGTGTAGAGTAGGGCTTGTTGTTTGTCATTTCTCCGATCACAAATGCAGACATGGTTTTATGTTATGCGGCGCGATGCAACGCAATGCATAAAAATACAGTATAAGTCATTATAATCCATAATTATGTTCCCACTGGATGCAACGAATGCCTCGTTTATAATGGGTTTTCATGTTTTTGAATCATCGCTCCGGCCGGACAGGGCATCATCAAAATATGGTAAGGGGCGTAACATTTCCGTCACACGCTTGAGGTATTCGGCCAATCACAACGCACTGGATAGCTGGCCAATCACAGCACACCTCGCTTTTTTAGAACAATGAGCTTTGTAAAAATCGACTCGTTTCAGAAAGGCGGGGCATAGAGGAGCAACAATAATGTACATTATGTGGAAAATCATGTGTTTTTTAACCTTAAACCACATAAACACATTTCATAACACCAAATACACAAAATAATGTTCTTTTTTAGCAACATCATATGACCCCTTTAATGAGAGTTTGAGCAATAATGAGTCAAGCAAACATATCTTTGACTCCACTAAAAGTTCCACTGACTTGTACTGAAACCTGGCACATTGTATCAGTCTTAAGCCCTATTCGGACGGTAATTGTTTCTCAGGGGGAAGTAAATGATTTTCACCATTTACAGGGGGTAGTTGGTGATTTTAATACCGTCCGAATCCAGGATGTCTTTGTTTTTCTCTCACCACCCCCGTAAAAATCCCCGGCCGAATTACCTACTGTTTTTTGACAAACACCAAGGTCGTGTGGTAATTTAATTGCCGTCCGAATCCACATCTCTGAGTTTACAAGAAGAAATTGATTCAAAATTCAGTGTTTAAACGCTTTTTGAGCACTCCCGAACACTGTAAGGTAACGTTGTAGCCTACTTCAGTGTAATTTGCATACATATTTAGCCTATTTCTGAAATGCTGGCAAGTATTTAAAATAACAATACTTCATAACTGCTCCACCACAGCGACTGGGAGCAGAAAGAGAAGCACGTAAACATTCGAAATGGGTCTTTATTGTAGCAGCAGCAGGTATGCAATACAATTTTAAAATGTGTATTATAAAAAGATATATATCGCATATAATTATATACAACTATAGCACGTCTATTTTCCTATTTTGAAACAGGAGATTTAAATAATCAAATAATAAATAGGATTATATATGATAAAATATGCTTGGAATAATAAGAATACATTTTACACAATAATAAGAATAAATGTGTAACTAAAATTAATTTTATTTACAGCAGACAATCATGTGACTGGCCACGTGAGCAGCGTGTTCCCAGGTTCGTAGGATAGCAGAACTCGCTCCTCCACTGTGAATAGATCTCCATCCCAGTTCATGAGTTTTATCACTGAGGTGATATGTAAATTTATTTTTACAGACGTCCAAATAAGAAACAATTACCGTCCGAATCGGGCTTTAATCAATACATATTGCATTCTAGATTCTGCTCAATCATGGCATACTGCTATCAAATATTTGTGCATTATGAGAGCAAAACTATATTTTTCTAGTTTTATGTATCTCGTAGCACTCACATAATAATACCTGAATACACTTAATGTCTAAAGCTGCATCTAAAAGCTTAGAATGTTGACTTGTTCCCTTGCTGCTCTATCAGACAATGACTTTGCAGGCGGTGTTTGCGGACGAAGGTGCCGCACGAAACTGATTTCAGACAGACTTTAGAAGCAGCATAATAGTTTAATGACTTAAAACAAAACAGTATAGGTTTGGTGATACATTTCAGGCACTCTATATTTTTAAGCTCAACTGTCATGGAATGGAACGTGCAGGATTGTGTCTTATCATAGGCAGCAAAGGATACATTAATGCTGCCTTCAAAAATGTATCAGATGAAAGGACATGACATCATCATTGGATTCTGACATGCCTGGTTGCCTTCCTATCTCTGTATGGTGCCAGACTTTATTGTAAAATGAACCCCTTTAAGAATATACATGATCACCCTGTCTGGGATTATTTTGCGATAAAAACCACCTGACTGGGATTCTCACTGTCAGTGGCCTCACCTTGGGTGTCATGTTGTTTGTGATGCAGAAGGCTAAGTGCTGCTGTATGCTCTCCATACTGTGGAGGTGCTGTTGTCTGGTGGTACGGAGGTATTTCTGCAGTGCTCGGGCCATGGAAGGAAAGATGGCTTGAGCCGCTTCACGTGGGTCCATCACGTCACCAGATGCCTTCTTCTGCTCCTCCTCTTGCATGCGACAAATGTGTGTAAATGCCTCCTCCACTGCCACCACCAGCCTGGGAAAGAAAGGTTGTCGTCACACAGTCCAGATTCAAAATTCCACAATCTTTCAGTTCTCTAGAGCAGTGATTCCCAAAGTGTGGGGCACTGTAAACTGGGGAATGCAGTAGACTTACACTAAGTACACTGTAAAAAATTTTTTGAAGTTGTTTCTAGTTGTTTTTTTGCAATTATTTGTGAAATTTACTAGCAATTTCTGAATGAAAATCGTTTCAAACTAAATCCTACATCAAATTTTATTAATGTAGTTCTACGGTCGCCGTGATTTTTGCCAAGTAAGACATGTTCCTGGATCAACATCTTTTGTTGATCCTGAATCAACATTACTGTCCAAAAATATAGACTAAACCCAATCCATACCCCTAAACATAACCCTGGTCCCTATCCATAATTTATTCCTAAAAACAGTATGAAATGATAGCTGATTAACAAGGGTGTAGGAGCACCTAACCCTGATCGTAAGCCTAAAACAGATATTTCCTTAAAAGTTATCCCTCAATTCTGATTGGTTAATTGGAATGTTGTTCCAGGAACATGTTGTACTTGGTGAAATCACGGTCACCGTTATGTTATGTGCTTATGTAAACTCGCATTCTCATGTGAGTCAGATTTGAATAGGGGGACAAAAATGTACTGCCCTGCTACTTTAAAAAGCGGAGTTACCAAACACGAGAACCTCTGCTTCAAAGTAATGTAATGTGAATGTGTAATGCAATCTCTTGTCTGATTTAATCACTATTAGAAATGATCCCATTTCATTTTGAGAATCTATTTTTATCATGATTCATTCATGCTGAATACCTTATAAGTAAAATTATTTGCCAAATATCTTTCTAAATCTATCACCAAAGTTCTCTCACCTAGCCCTGCGTTTGCGGACACGTCTCTCATGTTCGGCCTCTTCGTAGTAGAGTTCGTTATGACTGCTGTCTCTGCGGCGGGCAGCAGCAGCAATCATTGCTCGAGACTGAGACTGGGCTATACCAGCAGCTGCATTATTCCCTCCTGGACCTGACCATGATGGGACACACATGCATTGAGACTGTTTAGTCAAGTCAAGTCATCTTGATTTGTATAGCGCTTTTTACATTCACAGATTGTGGCAGCTTCACAGTGATGAACAAGAAAAAAAAGCAGAATCAATTATGGAAACTCAACTATGGAGACCGTTCAGATTCTGCTGTAAAGCAGTTCTAAAAGACAGCGCTGTCATTGCTCAGTTCAATACAAGTCAGTTTAGTGTTGGTTCAGTTCAAATCAATAACAGTGTGAATTTGTGAATTTTACGAAAGGCAACAATGTTGTTATTCAGCTTTAGTCAGTTCAATGTTGATTCAGCTCAGTCCGATAACAGTGTTGATGTTGCAAGATGTGATTCAGATGTGGAGCAGCTCCACAGAAGACAATAGTTCAACTTGATTCAATTCAAGTGTTTGTTCTCATCTGGTGGTGTCAGTTCAATAGGTTTATGCTGAACCATGTAGTCTGTATGAGAAGTTACTGTGTAGAGAGGTTTTTGATTAGAACAATATAAAAATGCACTTTGGTCAATTCATTTCTTTTCAGTGCACTGATCCTGGTAATACTGATACTGAGTAACAAGGTTTGTGTCAGTAATGATAAGTGCAGATCGAAGAAGTGGAGACTGTGCTTTAGTGACATTTACCAATCAAGCTGTGGTCTGACTGGAAAGATCTTTTGGCTTGTAATATATGGCCAGGTTTCATGCCTGGCAGCAAATCACTGACACGCTTCCCCCAATTTTTTTCTTAAGTTTCAATGCAAAACTGGTATGAATGATTTATTTACGATTTCAGTTTGTTCCACACACAAATCTTTCATACTGCTTTCAAAGTCTTGGATTACTGAGCACAAGTTGCATGGATTACTGTACACTGCTTTTGCGTACTTGTTAAAGCTTGAAAGCTTCACCGCCATTCATTGTGACTGCATGAAAAAATGCTACCAGTAGACTTCTTCCTTTGTATTCCACAGAAGAAAAAGTCATGTGGATTTGGAATGAAATAAGAGTGAATAAATATGACATAAGTTCCATTTTGGGATGAACTATGCCTTTAAAATTCCTTCACATTACTCACTATTTTTAAGGTATTCAAATCCAGCCTCTCTTGTGGCTAGATGCTAAAAGTCTGTTCCCATATTCATCTATGGAAATGTCAAAGATAATATTTTGTGCATGTAATAAATATGCAGCTGGTTAATATGCAGCAGAATCTGTGTCTACCTGGAGCTGCTGTCAATGTGTGTTGATAGTGGGCGGGATGGTGAATAAGTGATGAGGAAGTTCAGAACTCATCTGTTTCTCTATTCATCTCTAAAATTGAAGGAGATAAACTGAAAAAAATATACTTAAGATTCATGCAAGAAAAACTATTTAGTTTATCTTTAAAAGCAAAAACTAATGGTTATACACAATATAATTGTTAGATCATGGTGTAAAGATGCGCACAATGATAGAGAATCCAAGTAGAACAATCTTTAATAACAAACACTCTGGAATATCCAGGAAACAGGAGCCATGGTAGCGACTTGGCTGATGAAACCATGGAGACAATGAACGGAGGATGGAGGTGGGGACCCAGGCGGAGCCGAGGAGGACTGGAATCATCATCATCATAAATATTACAGGTGGGAATCTTTTGGAAACTCACAATTTAATTCAAATCTATTCTTGGGGTCATGATTGTGATTTATTTGATATATGCATAGATTTGATTTTAGATTGGATTCTAAACTTTGAATTTAATTGTATTTATTTGTACTAAAATTTAAATTAAACTGAAAATATAAAGTAAATGAAATAAAGGATTACTTCAACCTGTGTGGAAAGATTGATGAACTGCGCAAGTTTTCTACTGAACCCTTAACAGAAGCCCCCGAGATTTAATAAATACAACCTATGTGTGTAATTAAACTTTAATTAAAATGTTGTTGAATTACTATTTTTCAATGTCACATTATTGTTTTTATTAATAAAAAATATTTAGGCTAAATACTTTATTGAACTATTTCATTCATAATAAATTGCATTGCCTTTTCATTTTGTAGGATATTGGTAGCACTAGTTACAGTACATTGTTTATATTTATTCCCCTGGTACAGTATTGCCATGTCTGATTATTATATTAAGGGACATGTTTTGCTGTTTTGTGATATCTGATATCTTATGATATCTATTTAATGTAGAGAGGGAATAGTTCAGAAGAGAGTAGAAGTATGCAAACTGAACAGCAGCTACTGTTAGTGCTGATTGGTCGGGAGTTTTTCATAAAATAGTTTAAATTATACACAACTTGTAACCACGCCATTACTTTACTATAGCCCAGTTGAGACTGAGACACTGCATTCGCCACTCAGCCTTTCGTATTCGCCTCATGCCGTAAGCACACACATCTTTTGAATCATTAAAATGCGATCGTTTATGTGTGCGTCAAGTTGAATGTATATTGATATCAAAAGAAGTATTATCAGTTGGTTTCGACTGGTGGTTGATCGTTTGGAGTTAGAAATATATAATACGCACCACTGCATTCTGATTATTTAGTGATTTTGCTTTTATAAGTAGGTATTGTTCGTCACCTTGCCAACTGGTTGCACATCCATGTTGAATGTCCTCCTCATGTGTAAAAAGTACATGAGCACATAGGTGGTGGCAAGATCGCAAGAAAAGCTTGACGTGTACTATATATGATTTAAGGCTATTTTCTATATTAAGATATCAATATAAGAAAAGTGGTTGTCAGGTAAGCTTCATTCAGAACGCTTCCCCCGTTGCAAGCCTGCCATGTGCATTCTGTAAACTGTCCGGGTAATGCACTGCTCTCGCAGTTGACTTCCACAATCTCTGTTCCGACATCATGTTGTTAACAAACATTTACAAAATCTATTTTTTCAATTTTGATTGCGGCAGGCTTGGGCACTCTGTCTGCCGTGGGCTCTGGCGTCTTGTCCATGGAAAGTGTGGGAGGTGGCTGGCTGGGCTTTGGGTATGGAGTGGGGCTGGTCAAGCCTTCCACAGTGGAGACGGCGAATGGAGATCTGCAACTCACCAGCACCCATTCCACCAACGTGGCAAAATCCTCTGGAGGACCAACACCAGGCAGGAGTGCCTTTGTGCACGGTGCGATCCGGGTAGTTAGTGTGGCACGTCAGTTGCAGAAATCCACAAGTGTGGTCCTCGAGAAACTGCTGCTCCTGCTCTAAGCATAGCAGCTAGATGGGTGGTATATCCATATTAGTTTTGGTTCCATCTTCTTTTATGTTATGGTGGCTGCAAATAAGCGCACAAGAATCCAAATAGGACAATCTTTAATAACAAACACTCTGGCATACCTAGGAAACAGCTCGGGGAAACACAACCAAAAACATTAACGAGAACGAACCATGAACAGTAGGAACTTAGGGCTTAAAGGGTTAGTTCACCCAAAAATGAAAATTCTGTCATTAATTACTCACCCTTATGTCGTTTCAAACCCGTTAGACCTTCGTTCATCTTCAGAACAAAAATTAAGATTTTTTTGATGGAATCTGAGAGCTGTCTTACCCTGCATAGACAGCAATACAACTGAAATGTTCCCAAGTCTAGAAACGTAGCAAGGAGATCTGTAAAATAATCCATGTGACATCAGTGGTTCATCCGCAATTATACGAGGCTACGCGTATCCGTGTGACACAGTTGACACAGAACAGCATACGCTGTTTATGTCCAGCGGATACTCTCCAAAATTGCGCTACAGGGTGACGCGGAGGACACAGATTGTTGAATAGTCTTTTTTTTTTTTCTTTTGCGTACAAAAAGTATTCTCGTAGCGCGTATCCGTGTGACACAGTTGACACAGAACAGCATACGCTGTTTATGTCCAGCGGATACTCTCCAAAATTGCGCTACAGGGTGACGCGGAGGACACAGATTGTTGAATAGTCTTTTTTTTTTTTCTTTTGCGTACAAAAAGTATTCTCGTAGCTTCGTAGAATTACGGTTGAACCCCTGATGTCACATGGATTATTTTACAGATCTCCTTGCTACGTTTCTAGACTTGGGAACATTTCATTTGTATTACTGTCTATGCAGGGTCAGACAGCTCTCAGATTCCATCAAAAATATCTTAATTTGTGTTCCGAAGATGAATGAAGGTCTTACGGGTTTGAAACGACATGAGGGTAGGGCTGGACGATATGGCCAAAATTTATATCACGATATATTTCTTAATTTCGGTCGATATGATATAATTCCGATATCGATATGAACACTATTTATCTGAAATAGAAATCTTTTGTAACATTATAAATGCCTTTATCATCACTTTTGATCAATTTTAAGCATCCTTGCTAAATAAAAGTATTAATTTCTATAATTTATTTCCCCAAAAAATTATACAAATTATACTGAATGGAATAGTGTATAATGTTACAAAAGCTTTTTATTTCAGATAAATGCTGATCTTTGGATCTTTCTATTAATAAAAGAATCCTGAAAACATTTTTTTACTCAACTGTACTCAAATATTGATAATCAGCAAATCAGCATATTAGAATGATTTCTGAAGGATCATGTGACACTGAAGACTGGAGTAATGATGCTGAAAATTTAGCTATGTATGATCACAGGAATAAATTACAATTTAAAATCTATTCAAATAGAAAGCAATTTTAAATAGTACAAATATTTCAACATTTTACTGTTTTTACTGTACTTTGGATCAAATAAATGCAGCCTTGGTGAGCAGAAGAGAATTCTAAAAAAAAAAAAAAAAAAAAAATCTTACTGTTCCAAACCTTTTGACTGGTAGTGTAGGCTGATTATTCTTATAGATTGAAACAAATGTGCTTCAGCCAGAAAAAAGGGTATGAAAAGTGCTCCGAGTCGCTGCAGAAAACAAAAAAATTGAACAACAACAAAAACTGGAAATGTTGCTGGAGACGGGCTTATTTAAAATGCAAACTCATTGTCTGCCAGCAGGAGGCGCTTTTAGAGTGATAAAACTAGCGGTTTCTCCAGTAACGGCTGTAATCAAAGCAGCTCCGCTCATGAACACTACTTTATCAGATCAAATGAAAACGCCATCTAAACTTTTCTGAAGACAGTCGGTTCCCTTCAGAGATACATTCATATAAAACACCCGCCCTGTTATGATTTTGAAACGTGCAGTGCTCATGTTTATTCAACGAAGTCAACTGGCACAAATAAATCAATGTATGGGAAACTGGTAATGTATATCGAAATATCGGAAATGTGTTTAAAAATCATATCACCGTTATTGAAAAAAATTATATCGCGATACATATTGATATTGAATTATTGTCCAGCCCTACATGAGGGTGAATAATTAATGACAGAATTTTCATTTTTGGGTGAACTATCCCTTTAAATTCACAATGAGAGATAATTACCAGAACTAGGAACAAGTGAGGAACTAATAAACAACTATGTAAACAACCACGGAAAGATGTACAATGAAGAATAACTTCTAATTTACAAATCAAGCAAATTTGTGACACTGATTATGTGAGTTTTTTTGTACAATAGGTCAGCTTTCCTTGCTTGAATGCACATACTTTTTAAAAACATTTTCAAATCAAGTTAGATAACATGATTTATATTTGTTTTTTATGTAAAAGCAAACGCGAGACATTCTAAATAAAATAAATTCTAAATTCTAACATTTATGTTCATTTTTCAGGTAAACTCTCAAAAGTTTATGCTGATAATATAATTTATAATGGAAAAAAATATACACTGCTTAAGAAGATGAAGGGGACACCTAAATCAAACATTGGATGAATCATTTTCATATATAATAAATTACTTGCACCTCAGAGCGAGCAGACAAAACACAATAAATACGGTCATTGCTTTTGGAGGTGGATGCCTCCTGTTTGGGAATGCAGTCATGTAAGACAGTTCTGGGAGGCAATTATACAGAAATACTTTGAACTAGGGCTGCACGATAAATCGAAATGGAATCGAGATCGCGATTCGACAGAAGCTGCGATAGTCATGCGTATCTTTCAGTGAAGCACGGTTCTGTGATCAGCAGTAAATCTCCATCCAAAGGCCAGAGGATGCTCTCGCGCTGAAACTCCAAATACGCCTCGCAGAAGAAACCCAGAAAATGCCTATCGCTGCAGTTGAATAAACCGAAGATTCAACTGCTTTTATTGATTCAATGTGACTCTTATTATTATAATTTTCATTAAAATAAAGTATATTTATAATGCAATGCCTTTATCACTGCTTAAATACTATGAAATATGTTGCGTGCCTTATTCTGTATAAGAAGCCACAGAAGGATTTATTTCAAACACTCGACTGACATTATGAAGTGAGTTTGGAGTAAAAATATGTTATTAAATGTGGTATTTTCACATGCTTTCACATGGAGCAGCATTTACTTCACAAAACCATAGACGATTTTTTTCGTGTAACTTGTCAGTGAGCTACGGCTATGTGTAGTAAATTCTGCTCCATCTGAAAGCACGTGATGATGATTTCCTGCTGATTACAGAACCGGCATTACTATCAAAATGCGCATGACAATCACATTCGATTAATCGTGCAGCCCTACTTTGAACTTTGCTAAGGCATTTCAGAATGGCCATAACAACATTTCAGATGCTTTGCAACGAGATCAGTCCATTGGTTAGTCAGGTTATGCTGTCCCATCGTGCAAAGTCACATGACTTTTTTGATACAAATGACACAAAATAACTAAAATGAAAATATTTCAATAATATTTCCACAAAATTCATGAAAAAACTGGAGAGCTAAAGAAGGGTTTGGAAAGAGTTTGTTAATTGAATCCTGCTAATCACAATGCAAGAGTATATAAACAGCTGTTTAGCTCGATAATGTAAAAGTACATAATTCCATCACCACCCAACTCCTGACAGATTTCATGACTGATTTCACTTTTGAGTAATTCAGGGAAATCTTTTAGAGTTTAATCTTAAGCACAAGCCCTCTATCTTGGACAGCAAGTCACACCTGTTTACTCAATCAGTACTTAATAAGTACGTCTTTAGTTACTTTTTTACTTCTGCAGTCTTAAGGCCTTGACACACCAAACCGAAAACAAAGAACAGGCGGTGATGAAAGCCGACTGTGTTGTCACCTCGCACCACATGTGTCTGGGATAAAAAGTTGTGTTTAAACACTGCAAAGACTACAGCCAAAGGCCAACTAGCATGTACATTCTGTGCCTGTGTGAGAGGAAATAACTGTATATATCAGCAGGTGGCAGAAGACTGTATTCGTCATTCAAAAAGAGAAAGCGAAACTAGGACTGCCGATATACAAACCCTGAACAAAGCAGCATTTGTATACCATTCTGAATAAGAATCATGTTGATCCCTTTCTTCATTCCAGATGGCCAAGTGGCCTGAAAATATACGCAAATTCATATATTCAGGAAAGATGACATACAATTAGAAGAGCTTCTGTGTGCATCTTCTTGACTTTATTTGCTTTTGTTTTTCTTCTCATGCACTGGTTCGCTAAGCTGAGCAGCCAGTCAGAGTGATCTCTATCGCCGACTGCTCAATGCCATTTCAACCATGTTCAATTGGCCAAAAATCCCGCAAGGGTCCAACTTGTGCTGACATTTTGAAAAACGCTGCAAAAACTGAGCTGACAAACCCTTTATGACAGCTGACTGACTGCTTGGTATGTCACGGTCTTTATCAGATGCCAGGATGAAGTTTCATTAAATGCCTGTTACCTAACTAATGATAGTACAACCCAGCCATTTCCAATGCAGGATAGAATGGAATTGTTTGTGGGCATGTTGGAATGTGTGTCTGGTCAAGTACAAGGAGACATGCAGGAAGACATACAGATCAAAGTCAAAAAGAAGTGTGAAAAAAAGTGTATGGCGTGAAATGTGCTGGAAATCACACTTACAGAAATGTATTTTTGGATTTTTTTGTGGAAACCAGTGTGAGAGTTTTCTCTGAGGGTGTTTAAAAAGCACAGCAGCCAAAATCACACAAAGAAGAGCAGATTGCACTAGAGTGGTAAATTGTTCAGCACATATATTTGATTGCCTCAGTCAAACTGCAATCGTATTCCACGCTGGAACTGTTTCTATCTCATATATATAAAATCTCTGCTACCATTCTTTAATTACCTTTTTTCCAGGTGATTGTCACTAAAATTTCAGGTGTGAAACAGGCAATTGCTTTAGAACTACTGTGCATATGAAGCACTGCTTTTTCCTTACACAGTAATTGTATCAAAAATGTGGCAATTATATATTTATCCATGCACGTACAATATACATATGTGGGTGACCTTGGGAACTTTTTGTCCCCCAGGATGATTACTATATTTCAATTGGTTCTAATGTAAAAGCATAGATTACAAATGCTGACTTAATTACATTCATGACTTTAAAAATGTGGCTGTAACGAAGTCAGACACAAAGTGATGTCCATCTAAACATTTAGTTGTAGAAGTGCAGACATGTACACACATTTGTAAAAGCATCAGCTGCTATTGGTGACTAATTACAAATAGCTTATCTAAAACCTGGGGGATCTGAAATAACTAGTTCTGTGCAGTTTTTAGGGAAATATGTGACTTCACTGGTGCAGACAAACAAATAATATATAAACAAAATTCTTACAAAAATTCCCCTTTGGTGCCCAGAAAACATGTGCTCATTCATCAGTGATTACTGTGCAGCAACAAAGTGTTTTGGGCCAAAATAAAGGGACAGTTTAATGATCCACTTACTGTCCAAAAGGTAAGCTTTCAGTTTCATTTGAAAGACTTTTAGGCAGGGACACAAAACCAGAGAAGATAAGTGTTAACAACAGCATCATCTTCAGTGGTCACAAACAATTCATCACAACATCACTTCAGTACCACTGGTACACTCATGTCAAAGTCAACAAAGCTCTGAGATCTGAGTTAAAATCACTGAACTGGAAAAGCATTTGACAGGCGAAACACATTTTCTGAGCAAATGGAAATGATTCCTGTATACTCGAGTGGTTGTGAACTCACCATCCACGTTGTAGACTTTGAGGCCTGCCAGGTGTTTGGCGGCGCGGGACTTGGAGGCTGTTAGCATCGCAGGGTTATGGACAGGGAAGTCTTTGTAGTAGTTCTCTAAGATAACCACTGCTGCCCTCTGGATGCTACACATGGAAAAGACCAGAAAAGGAAGTCAAGTGAGGTCAAGTCACATTTATTTACATAGCACTTTATACAATACAGATTGTTTCAAAGCAGGTTACAGGAATAAACAGGACAATAATGATTCAATGATGGATGATAAAGCAGCTCTGAAAAAATTGTGTCATTATTCGACTGTGGTCAGTTCAGTATTGATTCAGATTCCTTCAATAACTGTGTAAAGAAAGAATAGTGTGGAGTTAATATTAATAGTGGCTTTATATTATTAAAATGATTTTACATGAGGAATTATATGCTCCTATAGAGGACAACTTACTGTTACCTTGTTTTAATGAAAAATATAGTTAACCTACATGGAGAGTTCATCAAGTCAGGGCTGTCCAAACTCGGTCCTGGAGGGCCGGTGTCCTGCAGAGTTTAGCTCCAACCCTAATTAAACACACCTGAACCAGCTAATCAAGCTCTTACTAGGCATAGAAACTTCCAGTCAGGTGTGTTGAGGTAAGTTGTAGCTAAACTCTGCAGGACACCGGCCCTCCAGGACCGAGTTTGGACAGCCCTGATCTAAGTGAACATATAATCTGTGCGCAAAACAACATCTAAATCTCTGATTCACTGACAACATTGTCTGTCAGTGATTTGACTCACAGAGATCCAAGCACTGATACTGTTGTGTTTTTAGGAATAAAAACATGATATTTACACACATTTTGCTTTGGGGTTATAGTGGTTATCGGTGCAAAACTGTAATTCACCACTGTCATATTTGAGTATCCAGGTACCTCCAGGTTTTCCTTTCAAGAGTATTTTAACTGAGACTTATTGTTTTATTTTGTATTAGTATTCCTAAAAAAAAAATAGTATTCCTATTTTAAAAAACTAGCATAAATCAACCCATTATTATGGGTTAAATACAAAGACCCAAAAGGTTGGGTTTGTCCATATTTTACTTATCTGTGGTTTGCAAAACACCCAAAATTGGGTTACTTTCAATCCAATGTTTTTTAAAGTGCAATAATATGTGTTTGAGTTTGCTTCTGTGGGTCTCTAAGTGTTAAGTATATCATTCAGAAACATTAGTCAAACAAAACAGACTTTTCAAACTGTAGACGTTATACAAATACAATGCTGCTTTACTGGAATTCATGTGTGCTTTGGGTGTATGCCAGAGAGAAACATAGTAATATGGTGTTGTTCATGTCTCCCAGACAGAAGAGAAAATTACACACTTGGCCTCAAATCAGAATAACAGACTCCACTAGCTGCTAAGTGTGATTGTGTTTGGGTCACTCAATATGGCGACAGTTATACTGGGGCCAGATGCCTCAGCCAGAAGCTTGTGTGATTTGTTAAGCCATGCTAACCTGATTGTAGTGAGCTTGTGCTTGATCACGGCATGTGTTTCCTATTTACATACATGCTACAGATGCTCTACTGTCCACCCTGAGGATAAGCAGACACCTCACTACACAATAGACACTCAGAAGGAGAGAAAATAAAAGGGAGAGGTGGCCTACTTCTTTTCAGAAACAGGTTTTTGTGCCATTGGCACTTGCTAAGTGTTTTAGGATCTCTCCTTTTCCAGCTGATCTGGGACTAGGGTTGCAATGATTTTAGGATGTCAGTATGAATACAAACAAGCTATTGGGTCCATGGAGGTATGCAATTATGAAAACATGGCAGCATCCATGCCAGACACGTAACAAGAGACACAGATGCCTGAGCTCCAGCTCTTATAATCATGACAAAGTGGAGCAGAATATATATCACGATATATTTCTTAATTTCGGTCGATATGATATAATTCCGATATCGATATGAACACTATTTATCTGAAATAGAAATCTTTTGTAACATTATAAATGCCTTTATCATCACTTTTGATCAATTTTAAGCATCCTTGCTAAATAAAAGTATTAATTTCTATAATTTATTTCCCCCCAAAAAAAAAAAAAATTATACTGAATGGAATAGTGTATAATGTTACAAAAGCTTTTTATTTCAGATAAATGCTGATCTTTGGATCTTTCTATTCATCAAAGAATCCTGAAAACAAATTTACTTAACTGTACTCAAATATTGATAATCAGCAAATCAGCATATTAGAATGATTTCTGAAGTGACACTGAAGACTGGAGTAATGATGCTGAAAATGTACCTATGTATGATCACAGGAATAAATTATATTTTAAAATCTATTCAAATAGAAAGCTATTTTAAATAGTAAAAATATTTCAACATTTTACTGTTTTTGCTGTACTTTGGATCAAATAAATGCAGCCTTGGTGAGCAGAAGAGAATTCTTTGAAAAAAAAAAGCATTAAAAATCTTACTGTTCAAAAACTTTTGACTGGTAGTGTAGGCTGATTATTCTTATAGATTGAAAGAAATGTGCTTCAGCCAGAAAAAAGGGTATGAAAAGTGCTCAGAGTCGCTGCAGAAAACAACAAAAACTGGAAATGTTGCTGGAGACCAAGGTTATCGGAAATGTGTTTAAAAATCATATCACCGTTATTGAAAAAAATTATATTGCGCTACATATTGATATTGAATTATTGTCCAGCCCTAACGTCTACGCTGTTGTGTCAATTTATACTGGACATAATTTTAATTTTTTTAACAGTTTTTATACATCTATTAAAGGTGCCATAGAATGGAAAACTGTATTTACCTTGGCATAGTTGAATAATAACAGTTCTGTACATAGAATTTACATTCTGTGAGCCTCAAACACCATTGTTTCCTCCTCCTTATGTAAATCTCATGCATGCAAAAGATCACTGAAAAATAAGCGAATCAGAACATAACACCGACTGTGACGTTACAGTTGGGATCACTAATAGTTACGCCCCCAACATTTGCATATACCCGCCCATGGTCTATGCCAGCCGCCAGCCGAACCTGCACAGCCGAATCATCAGAAGTTCTGCAGGTATTGTGAAGAAACAAGCGAGGATAATAGCGAAAATGTCAGATCATGGAAATAAATGTTAAGTTCCAGGCTGTGCAGGGATGGGTTGGTGTCTGTATTAAAAAAGGCACAGAAAACAAATAACGCGAGTTCTAATAAAATAACAGGAGCCACTAAAGGGACATGGTTAGCTACTTGCTAGCAGTAGCCTGTTACATTACAGTACATAAGATTTCACTTACCACATAAACAGAGTAAGGAGAGATGACTGAGAATGATGGCGAAAGATTTACAGATCCTGAGCACCACTGAAAAGCATCTGATCTTGTAAAATGTATGGTAAGTACTGCCACTGTAGTTTACACAGAGCACGTGCGATCGCAAATCTTGAAAGTGAAACTACAAAGCGATTGTGCATTCGAAAGCTGTTTCAATGCCCCGCAGCCCCACATATTAATAGCGGCTCCCTGATGCCCGCATTTTATATACAGTATAATTACCCAACGATATAACTGTGAGAGACAGTAGTGTTGCTTTCGTCAACGAAAATTATGACTCAATATCGTCGTCAATGAACCTATATCACGTGACGAAAACGAGACGAGACGCAACGTAAATGCTGGTCATGTGACGATGACTATAATTAAATGTATAATGCAGTATTGTTGACAAATAAAAACGAGACTAAATGTGGTTTACAAAATAAAAACTATGCTAAAATGTCTCTTCATTTTCGTTGACCAAAACGAGACGAAACGAAATGTTATAACGTTATTTCGTCTCGTTTAGTCGCGTTATTATTATTATTATTTTGCAGTATTTCTGTTTCCTGTGTCTCACTTCAGGGGCTGCATCAGGTCGCACTGCGCAGACGCAGGCGACGTCACTTCCTCAAGCCCCACTCGCGGCATTATTTAGAAGACGACAACAAACAAAGTTAAGTCTGACACAGAGAAAGAAGAAGGGCCTTTCGCACCACGGGAACCTTTTCATAGTACCAGAACTAATTGTGGAACTACCCACTTTTTGGCATTTTCTGGGTGCGATTTTAGTACCGGGCTGCCTTTTTCAAGAACCAAATTAGCTCCTACTCCGGAGCAGGGTCTAACCAGCACAACTGGTTCTAATCGTGACGTAAGTAGACATTGATTGGCCAAACGCGTACGAAAAAGCCCTCACCCTCCATGATTTAAAACGCCGTGTAAACATACTGTAAACATTGTGTCAACTTATTTCGCAAGTATGGAGAACAGCGATAGATGGACGGAGGCACTTGTATCAAATGTAGCACTGTCAGTTGTCACTGGAGATTCTGAGTCCTCCTTTACGTTCTTTCAATCGCTTTACGTATACATCGACTTTCCATGTCCATTATTGTGAAACAGTTACAGCGTCCTCCATCCTCCTTTTGTTAACGTTGTTCTTCTTTGTTTCTGTTGCTGAACGCACAATTGACGATGCTGTTGACCGGCTTACGTCACTTCTTAGTACACACTCACGGTGCGAATGCACCACTTTAAATGGTACTGGGAAATAGTTCGCGCAAAATCGTCCCAGTACTTTAGTACCGTATGTTTAGTTCTGGAACTAAAGCGGTGCGAAAGGACCGATGGCCGTGTTTATGTAGTTGCTGTTGAGACTGCTGGATATTTGGTTCAGTAGTTGAGTTCAGTATAGTTTGTTCTTTTCTGTCAACGAATTCCACTGTATGCAGCCAGTGCTTCCCATCCCATTATATCTCTCTAAGGTCCAAACCATTTGTAGTGT